AATCTCAAACTCAAATTCTGAGTTAGAAACTATAGTACCAACGGAAGAATATGCTCCTTAGTCTAATGGACAAACAAATAGCTCAAAGCAATGGTAATCATTAAGGAAGACTATATGGAAAAGCTTTCACCAGTATCATGTTAATGCATACAGCTAACCTATAAAGAAAAATGAAGAATGTGGAAATGGTACACTGCTAATCAAACCTCATATATAGAATCACAGAGTTTGTTGCCACAGAAATTAAAAATTATCTACCTAATATTACTCAACAAAATCTTTATCTACTAAATACCCACACATACAGAAAACAACAAATCATGCATGTTTGGAAGTAAGAATATCATAGCATAATTTTAGTTGTCATAAAATAACAGAGAGGATGTTACCTCAGCACATTGCTCCTCAATTTCATGTTTTAGTTTCAGGATATACTCACTGCTTACATCCATGTTATTCAATGCTGTAGCAATCTCTGTTCCGGTCTTCTGCACACCAACACCACCCAAAAACAACTTTGCTCCAAGGTTTGGTTCTCTTATCTTCTGTTGCAAAGCTTCCTGATATTCATTACTCAACAAACTACTAGCAGCAGTCAAGACTGCAACCACGGAACTGATATTTGAAGTGGAAATTGCCCTCCGTAAGCAGCTTTGCAGAACATAAAAGACATCATCCACCATTGAAGTAGCAAGGCTGTCCGGCACATGCTCGTCAATCCTTATTGCTTTCCTCACATTTTCTACCATAAAGAATCCCTCTAAAATCACATAAAACCCTGTAATGTCTTGAACAACTTTGCTAAAGCTTCCACTCCTAAAAGCTTTTGTTGCTCTTGGTACTAACTCTGGATCCACAGAACTCAACCCCTTGATCTTGGACACCATATACTCTGTATAATCCTCACCCAACTGCATCAATGACAAAATTTCCTCCAAATACAACTCAACCTCTCTAGGGTCAGGTCCTTCCTGTGCTCCCACAGCCAGCAAATTGTTGTTCTGGGCATTGATCTCAGATGCTAACCTGGCCAATTTTCTGTACTCCATATATTTCTTCAAGATCAGAGAACCCCTTGAATCACACTCCTCTTGCAATTCACAAATCGCATAAACAATCCCATCTTCACCACATAGACCCCTCAAGATCTCATCATTCTCCTCAATAGCCAACACAATATCCTTGAACAAATTCGTCAAACATCCAACAAAATTCACCTGATTCTGTCCGTGGCCCTGCTCCATCAGCTCCACCAAATGCTCGTACTCAAGCCTCGATCTCATTCCTATAACCTTCTTCAAATACCCAACATAAACCTGCAATCCCTCCTCCTCCATTCCCAATGGCGAATAGATGCGAATAAACCTCAAAATAGTAGGATGATCCCTCTGATCCACAGCTGCCAGCAACTTCTTTTTGACAATCCCTTCCAATTGCTTCTTCGAATTGAGCAACTGCTCTCTTTGTTCAGATCCAGAATCCTTAAACTTGTCATCGATCTGTAAGAAAGTCTGCACATACTTGGCAGCGGACTCGTAATCCTCAGTCTCCAGAGCGCTCTTCACACCCTCGATGCAAGTACCTCTTTCGACTATGGCGTCGATACGGACGAGCGTAGAGTTGACACGCGACTGCGCCAGGTCAAGCTCGCGGACCTTACGGCTAACCTGATCGGCGAGGTCGCACGTGGAGCGCACATTGGACAGCATGTGATCCGAATCAGCCTTTACAATGTCAAGCACCTCGGCGGATTTCTGAAGCTGAAGGAGGTGCTTGTCGATTTCTGTACGCTGAGAGAGGAGGCTGTCGAGATCAAGGTCGAGAGCTCGCTGGTAAGCTATACACTCGTGGAGGAGGCGGGTCATGGCGCCAACGTCCGTTAGGGATCGGACGTGAGCCAGGGCCTCCGGAGTGCCGAATTTGATGGAGGTTTCGTCATGGTATTCCGATGGTTCCGGCTGCTTCGCCGCCGATCCGTTCGGCGTCGATGGCATTTTTCCTCTTCAAGATTTAGAAATGTGCTTACCGTTTCTGCGAGTGGAAATAGTTGCTGTGGCGGTTGCAGACTCGCGGATGGATACGGAGGTTGAATGGGGGAAGAGAAGAGAGCACGAGTTCTAAACGGTGTCGCTGACAATCTGGGCCGCCATGGATTGGGCTAGATGAGAAAGGCCACTGACCCACCCCATTTAGTCCGTTTCGATAAACAATATATTTTCTATTTTTCTTTCCCGTGGTAAGGTAGCCTAGTTAATTAAATCTGAGTTTCAAAACACTTTTCAATTCTCTAGTTTTAGTTTTTATATTTTTTTTATATTTTTATATATATTTTTTAATGTTAAAGTATTAAAAAAAATTTATGGTTACAACTTAGCACTCTTAAATTTAAATTTACTTTTAAATTTTACATTTTAAATTGTACTGAAATGCAATATAAGAATTGTTTAATATCAAAGGGTTTATTCACATTTAATTGTTTAAGTTGTATAATTATATACAATTTGATTTATATAATATTTTTTTAATTGATTTGCAAAAACTAAACTAAAAATTAGGAAAAATTGCACCTGCCACTGTATAAATAGGGTTGGTGCATTTAATTCTCAAATTATAGAAATGTATTAGTAATTTGAAAACGTGCCTTTAACCTCAAACCAAATTAATACAATGGTTACTGGCTCAATCCAAGCCTAATTTTTATTTTGATTTAAGTTCTAGGCTTCTAGCAAATGCAGTGGGTCAATGGCCCTTTACAAAAAAAATAAAAATAAAAATAAAAGTAAGAGTGGTATACGAGTCCTACACTTTCAAGTTTACACGGATAATTTTAAATAAGAAAATAATAATTATTAAATTATTAAAATATTCTCAATCAATAATTCTTTAAAAAAAATACATATTTTTCATTTTTTAAAATCTTTTGCTTGTTTTTATCATTTCAAATCAGATCAAAATTAACTTTGCCAAGATAATAAGTTAAGATTAACACAAGAAGAGGATATTAAGATAGGCTTCGTGCTCCACTTAACTTTAAACTGATTGATTTTTGAGTTATAGCATGTTTTGTCCTTATTTAAAAATGATAAACTTCCTATGTGGCTGAAGAAGGGCCACCTGTCAATTTGAGTTAGAGATGGGTAATAAGCCCACCTTTCAGTTCGTTCGTTCGTTCGTTTGGACAAGGGAACAACAAATTGTGGCTTACTTGTCGGTCTTTCTTCTGTATCACAGTGGACGAACACAAGAAGTACCAAATTTATTTAAATATATCAAATCATATGAGTCCACTAAAATTTCTAATAAATCTCTGTGTGCAAAATCTAACTTAAAAAATTCTGAGGTGCAAATAAAAAAAAAAAAAATTGTAGAAGATATTATCAAAGCTCACAAACTCAGATTATATTGGGCGGTCCACGTGCCACTCTCTCAACCATGAGATCTCAAGTAAGGTCTCGGGATGCAGACGTGGCAGCACGTTCATAGAAAAAAGAAAAAAAAAAATCTTTTCCCTCACACCCCAAACTTACCAAACACGTGTCCCTCCTCCAGACCCCACATGTTGAACTTACCCAAAACCACATCATCCAAGTACCCACCTCCACCAAAACGAAATATCAAAAAAAAAATAGCGGCAGCAAATGCGCCACGTCAGCGTCGCAAACCACAAGCCAATGGCGGCGCACCTTTCGATCTGATAAAAAATCTTAAAGAAAGACGAGATATTTTATGCGGTTTTAGCGGCTGTAAACCAAAGTTGGGTATCGAAAAAATTTTGAGGCCGTTTTCCTTTTCTGTAGTCTCCTTCTTGAAAATTCCTATAAAATGGCCTATTCAGATATTTCCAACTTTGCTTAAGCATGAGGTTAACTGGATAACTTCACTGCATCTCTTCTTCTTGTTCTACAGCTTTGCTGTACTGATTTCTCTCTGTTCTTTTTTTTGGGTTCAGAATACTAGAGGTTGTGTTTGATTTTTGTGTTGTTGGTAGGGTGTTTGAGAATGGGTGACTTGGGGACGGAAATGGATTTGGTAATGGAGGAAGAAGAAGAGGAGAAAAAGAAGAAGAAGAAGGATGGATCGTCGGAGGTGGTACAGTGGGAGAGGTTCCTCCCTAAGATGGTGCTCAGCGTTCTCCTCGTTGAAGCTGACGACTCCACTCGTCAGATCATCACCGCGCTTCTTCGGAAATGCAGTTACAGAGGTCTCTTCGCTTGATCTTAGTTACCTCTTTCATTTTTATTCTCCCGATCCATAGATAATGTTGGACTGGATTTGTGTATTTTATTTGTGCTTTCATTTTCGTTTTAAAAACTACAATTAGCTTCATTTTGGTTCTTAGTAATCCATTAACGGACTTGTTTGATCAAGCAGTTGTTGCTGTTCCTGATGGATTAATGGCATGGGAGACATTGAAGGGTGGACGGCATAATATAGACCTCATATTGACTGAAGTGGAGTTGCCTTCGATATCTGGATTTGCTCTTCTTACTTTAGTTATGGAGCATGATATCTGCAAAAACATTCCTGTTATAAGTATGGGGTCTACACTCGAGTTTTGTTCTGTCATTTTTTGTGATTTTGGATCAAGGTGTGTGGGTAGCTAAACATGTTAGGCTTTCTTTTTATGCAGTGATGTCCTCAAAGGATTCGATTAGCACGGTCTTAAAGTGTATGTTAAAAGGTGCAGCTGACTTTCTCATTAAGCCTGTTCGTAGGAATGAGCTGAGGAACCTCTGGCAGCATGTTTGGAGAAGGCATATGGTGTGTTCAATTCTTCACTGTTTGCCATCTTAGCATTTAACTTCGATGGAATATTTAGTTTTTGGTTCAATTTTTATCAGCTAGCTGGTGGATGTGCTCCTCAAAGCCTACTTAGTCTGCAGCATAATGTTGAAGCCACTGTTGAAAACAATGCTGAGAGTAGCCATTCAAGTGATTATGCATCTTCTTCACAGAAAAATAAAGAAGGAAGCAAAGGAAGTGATACCCATGTGAGTATTATAACCTCTTGGTGTAATTATTGTAGTGGCATAAGAATTCATCTATATGACTATATCTCTCTTTATATGCTGTTAGAGTTGCAATTATTTGAATATTTTGATGATTTTACAATTTCATGATAACATCCATATCTGTGAGTTGTAAGGTTTCTAAGTCTTCATAGAATTTTGAATCTTTTGATGATTTTACAATTTCATGATAACATCCATGTCTGTGAGATGTAAGGTTTGTAAGTCTTCATAGAATGGTAATGGTACATAACTAAGGGACTCAATAATATATTAAATGTTTCACATAGAGACTGCATTGTTTGCACACTCTTGTGAAGAGCTCTTGTACAACACCTTACTTGGAAGCTGAGAGTAACTACATGCAAATTATGCAGGGTCTTTCGCAACTGAAGGGTACAATTATCAATTTTGGTAATGCAGGCAGAGATCAGCAAAAAAATGGCATCATACTGAATGAAAAGTCACTTCTTCCTGAGAATCAACTTACAGGTATGTTCCTATTGTTTGCCTGTTTAACACTTTCTCAACTCTACTGTTTCTGATATGATGAAATGAAAGAAATTCTTGTTTTCATGGTGCTCTTATCAGAAAGTCATTTTATGAGCTATTTGTTTCAGAAAATCCAAATAGTTTAGGAGCTGAGGTTGCTGGCTGTAATGATGAAGCTTCCAATTCAAATGCATTTAAACTGGAAGATAACCATTCTGTTGTTAAGGTGGTGCCTGAGGCTCAGGATGGAGTTGTTGGAGCAGAAAGCAGCAGAGCAGTTCCTAGTATTACTGTTGGGGTTCATTGCTGCAATGATGAACCATGTGAACCTTCTACAAGAGCTATTGACTTGATGGCTTCATTTGATAATCAGCCAAATGATATTGAACATTTTAGATTAAATGATAGCAGAAGCAAGTCTGAAATTGCTCCACAGTTGGAACTTTCTTTGAGAAGATCCTCAGAAAGGCATGCCCTTAACCATTCAGATGCATCAGCCTTTTCATGGTAAATCTTTTCTTCCCTTATTTTGACTACTCGATAATTAACATGCATCATTGAAGTTTAGGCAAACATAGATGGCATACATTTAAGAAAGTAAATCTCATTGGAGAAACAATAAAGATGATTTACCATCTTTTATTTATTTATTATTATTATTATTATTTTTTCGTATCCTTTACTGTTTTGGTTGTATTTTCCTTTTTCCTCTGATGTTAAGGTAATGTTCCTTGAAAAACTATCTTCTAGACTTGTTTTTTGAGGAATTAGAGATTAGGTAAAGGTAAATTCTTGTGCACTGCTGCTAGCCATTGTAGAGGTGGTTATGGTGGCGTAGGTTAGTAATGCTATCAATATTTACAGTCAAAGGGCCATGCTTCTGAAATTCTTAGGAACTCTTAAAAGATTTCTGTTGGAGCAATATGAATTACCTTACTATATTCTTACCTCCACACACCTCCAAAAAAACAAAAAAAAACCTTAGTGTATTCTGGTCTGGATGCTCTCTGTAATCAATGCTCTGAATTTTCAATTCAAATATGTACTTGAATAACCGTTGCCTGCATTGAGAAATTACACCAAATGGTAAAAAAAGGTTCTTAGATAACCAAGTTAACCAATTATGTGAGGGATGACTTGGTGGGCTAGAATATAAGAAACTCATTATTTCAGTTTCTTTCTTTTGAGGGATGACTTGAAGATTAATAATTGTAGTTTGTATCCACCACATTCAAGATGATTTTGCCAAGTTTGATGAAATTTGAAGGAGATTTGGTTCTATGTTCTTGTTTTACTGATATAAATGTTTATATTACCCCCAGTTTCTGATGATTGTTAAGTTGCTTTATGTAGGTATAATAATAGTAAGATGTTAAAACCCCTACTTCCAACTCTAGCTAGTAACTTCACAGGATTGAAGAAGGGTGCAAGTAAACCACTTGAACAATTATCCAGTAATCCCCTGGAAAAAGCCGAGGATACTTCTCAAGCTCATGCTGCAGTTGGTGAATCTAGAGAATCTAAACTAATGTTTCCAAGCCCTCAATTTGGGGCAATTCCTGTTCAAGGGGTTGTATTGGATGAAGTGTCTGATGGAAATGAACAAGCTTTCACACCCATGGTTTATGCTAAATCTGGTTTACCCCCTTCTTGGAGTTCCAAACCAGGTGCGCAGCGAGAACATTCTAGTTTTCCTGTGAACACCTCAGTGCATTCCAATCCTGATATTCATGACACAGAACAAGGATACCATTGGTCTGGTGAAACTGCCAATTGTTCTATTGACGAAATTGTTTATGAGCTAAAAAAGCAGGAATCTGTTGGAAAACAAAGGTGCAGCTCCCCTGTTGCTGTTGAGAGTGCTTGCAGTAGTTTATGTAATGGTACTCTGAATTATGAAAACAGCAGCACATATGGCGGTGTTTCCAGTAGGAGTGATGCAAGCCTCCATGATAAGGTCACTGCCATAGAGATTGTCAAGGGTAGCAATATCAACGGTCATGATGAGGGATTGAAAGGGATGGAATCGCATCACTTCAGCCAAAGGGAAGCTGCTTTGAAAAAGTTCAGACTTAAGCGTAAAGATAGATGCTTTGAGAAAAAGGTACTTTATCACAGTTTTCGTATGGTACAATAGGCAAGTGTGAGTATGCTTTGCAAGTAGATAGCATTATACTATTTCGCATCCTTATGTGGGTTGGGTTATTTCAACAGTTCTTTTTGTAGTTGTCCTGCTGTTGCCAATATTAAAGTTCAACTAATTTGAAATATCGCATGAACTGTGGATTCCATATGTAGCCAATCTCATGTCGGCTGATAATAAGTTAACACCCTGCAATTGCTCATCATAGTCACCACATATAGAATTATCTTAATGAGCAATTCCTTGCACAGGTTCGATACCAAAGCCGGAAAAGACTAGCCGAGCAGCGTCCTCGGGTGAGAGGACAATTTGTTCGTCAGGTGGAGAATGACACCTGCTCTGGCAATATATGCTGATGGCCCTCAAATTGGATAACAGCACCCTGTTTATTTTAATTTTCTGTTGTGAGCAGATGCTAGAAATTTCCAGAAGACATACAGTGGTAGGCTAGGTGTTGACTCAAATGTCATGCTAGTTTCTTTGGTGGCCATAGGTTCTATATATATGACAGTAATTTTTTTTTTTTTTAATTTTTGCCTTTTTTTTTTGGATCCAACTGAAAGAGGTAGTATTGTAATTACTTTAGTGAGGTGGGCTTGTTTATATATCTAATTGTATATGTAAACCGATGACTGATTGTAAACATGTAGGTAGGAAGGTTGATCCTAATATCTTCTTTCAATAATTTTTTTCTGCATTATGGGCTAGTTTTATCACACAGTTTTTGTATGTTGTAAATTTTTCAATAGGATGTGTTTGGTTCAGAGTGACCCAATTCTCCCCTACTCTCTCTATTTATGCCCTACATATATTCTTCTCCGCCTTCACTTCTTTTGCTCTTTATGCCATTCCCTCCGCTATCGTCATCTCCCACTCACACTGGCCCCCATCGAATATATCTCTTTTCCATCGCAGAACATTTAGAAGACACACCTACGCAACCTCACTCTAAAATGACCAAAGAAAAAGAGATATCCCAGAACACATGGCTAACGCCCACATAGCCTCTGGAGATGGCCGCCGTGTCTTGTGCTCTTGTATTTCCATTTTCCTTCTCTTGGCTGGGGTCACTGCCCTGACGGTTTGGCTCGTCTACCGCCCCTACAAGCCTCAGTTCACTGTCATGGACGCTGCCGTCTACAGTCTCAACGCTACCTCACCTTTTATCTTCACTTCCATGCAGTTTACTATCGCTACCAGAAACCCCAATAAGAGAGTCTCCATCTTCTACGACGCGCTAACTGCCTACGTTTCCTACAGGAACCAGCCAATAACCCCTCTGGTAATGCTGCCACCGCTTTACCACGAGAAAAAGAGCACGGTGGTACTATCCCCCGTGTTGGGTGACGGGGAAGTAGTGTCAGTGTCGGCAGAGCTGGTGAATGAGCTGGCGATGGACGAGACTTACGGAGTGGTGCCGTTGACGGTGGTATTAATGGGGAGGTTGAGGTGGAAGGCGGGTGCAATAAAGACGATCAGGTACGAGATTTATGTGAGATGTGATGTTTGGGTGGGTTTGAAGAATGGTTCTGTAGGGGTGGTGCCCTTGCTTCGGGCTCCTCCTTGTAAAGTTGATATATGAAAGCATGATAGATGGAAGGCTAATTTGCAACTTGTTATGCTCTAATTTGCTATTTTCTTAACTACGTTATGTCATGTCTGTAGACAAGATCGAAAGAGAGGTTCAAACAGAGAAAATCATGTCTTCTGTTGGTTAAAATTATTTTCTTACGACTTCTGGAGAAAACTGATTGCTTCTTGTGATGATCTCATGTCTTCTGTTGGTTTGTAATTTACTTCAAAAAAACAAAAAAATCAGGAGTGCCCAACTTAAGACGCATGGCTCCCTTCGCAGCCAAACTTTAGGCAAATATAGGGCAATCTTCTGCTTTCATTTCATTTCATTTCATTTCTTTCCTTCCCTCAGGCTGCATCCCATTCCCATATATCTTTGTCTTTCCTCATTTCACTGCAATTAGTTAAAATTATTATCTAATTTAAACATTGACACAAGTTAAGAAAGGATTTAAGAAAAGAAAGAGAAGAAGAAGAAATGATTCGTGAGGGGGATATTGATGATTTAGAATCCATTTAATACCATAGTTTTTGTAAAAGTGGTGTTTAACTGTAGTTTTTATAAAATACTAAACCTTAAAAATAAAATCATGTAAGATGGTTATAAAAAAGTTTAGAAATTGAAACAATTTAACAGCAAACAAATCCGACGACTGTTGTAGCTTTATGCTTCACATTAAAAGTGAGACAAAAAGAACTTCACAGACAAAGATATGACACTTTAATTTGGTTACCAGAACAATTTTATTTTCCAAAATATTTTTTTCAACCTATACTTAGGTTAAATCTTCATTTTAATCTTTAAATGTTTAGTTTTAAATATTTTTAGTTTTTAATTTTTTTAAAAAATTTTTTAATACCTAAATTATAAAAATATACTTTTTTAAATTCTTCTGTTAGATTAATTTGTTAAATCTTTTCAAATATATATTTTTTTTATTCCTAAACTTATAAATTTTAAAATTAAAAATGTACATATATTATAAGTTCAAGAATTAAAAATATATGTCGCACTTGGGTCTTCCGGTCCAGTTACGTCAAGTCACGTATAAGTGCATTCTCTCACCCCTAGGGCAACGGTTCGAATCCGCCCCTTATGAATTTGTTCAAAAAAAATAAAAAAATAAAAAAATAAAAATGTATGTCAACAACCTAAATAATTTAGTGGTTATTTCTTTCCGCTGAAAGGAAAAGATCCTGAATTTGAGTCGCATGGCATACGAATGAAATGAGATAAGAGATAACAGATAGGAGATAGGAGATAGGAGATGGTTGCCTCCCATTGTGTAACCAAGATTAAAAAAAAAAATTTAATATATATATTTAACAAATTTAATAAAGTAACTGATTAAAAAATACATTATTTATAGTTTAAGAAAAAAAAAAGTATAAAAAACTAAAAATGTTCAAGTTTGGAGACTCAAAATTGGCATTTAACCACCTATTTACTACTATTTTCCAATTCTCAATACTTCTCTTTCATCTTTCCCTTTTATGTCCTAATATTGGGCATCGCATCTCTGTGTTTGGGTTTTGATATCACAGTACTTGGAAACTTGCCTATATTCTCCATGTCCGGAGGGTGGGGCAAGTGGAATAAGATGCATTTTTCATTTGAGAAACTAAGGGCTGTCTGGTTGAGGGAACTTCTCATTTTAAACCTTTCTACGCTTTTCTCTTATAAGATTATTTAGGTATTATTACATATTAAAACTTCAATAAAAAAGGAGTACAAATGATATTTTTAGTTTTTATTTTCCTTAATAAAATTTAGCAAAACCCTATATTGAACCCCTAAACTTATCCTAAACTCTCGATTAAGTTCTTAAACTATTATTGAAGTTTATAAGTCCTTGAACTTATCAATATAGGCAATTTAACCCTCTTCCTTATGAGAAAGCTAACACCCGTTTATGCCTCACTTGCATGGATAAAATCAATATCTACTATGTAAGTAATGACATCTTAATATCTTATCTACGCAAATAATATACAAATGGACATTAAGTCTGTCATGAAAAAGAGGAGTTAAATTACCTAGATTATCAAATTAGGGGCTTATTTAGTTCAATAAAACTTGAAGAGTTTCATCAGGAATTTGAGATAATTTAGGGACTTAATGTAGAGTTTTGCCATAAAATTCTTAATACATAAATCTTTCTTTTGTAAATTTTTCTTTTTACCTTTTTGAAAGAAAAAAGTTTATCCCTAACTTGATTACATAGGATCGCTTGACAATTTTCTTATTAACTTTTTTATACAAATTTCTTAACATAGAAAAGTTAATAATTTAATAAAATTTCAAGAAAATTTCTTTATAAAATTTATTAATTTTTTATACAGTATTTTTCGAATTACTTTTTCAATAATAACTTTTCAATAAAGTTGGCTTTTAATCAAATCTAAATATGCCCATCAAGAGACTGGCATTGATTCTTGCCTCATCAAAAGTAGGGGGAGCATTTTTAAGTATAGGACAAATATAAGTTATATTTGATATTTGATTTAAAATTTTTTTTGAGTATAATTTTTTAGATTTGGTGTATATTCGAAAGCTCAAAGGCCTACACTCAATACTTAACGCAACAAGTATTAGGTAATTTGTGGGTATATACTTAAATACTTGATTTAGAGAAAAAAAAAAGTCTAATATAAGATACTATTATTATGTGTGTTGTATTTGGTTTAATATTTATTATTTATATAAGTCGTTCCTTATGCGTATATCATTTGTTTTGTTTATAAGTTTTTTACTTAACATTTATTTTTATTTATTGTATTTTATTATTTTTATTTTTAAAAATTATTATTATTGTATAGTTATTAAGTATAA